AAAAAAAAGTTATATATAAAAAAAAGTAAGGTAACTAAAATGAACTACTTTAGCCATGCAAAGAAATATAATAAAAACTTGTATAATCACCACCCAGTTTAAGAAATAAAGCTTAACAAATCTAATTAAAGTCTCCTTGGCTGCACTAACTTCACTCCCTTAGAAGCAAATGCTCTCTTAAATTTAATGTATTTAAATTTAATGAAGTAGGTAGCAAAATGGACCCCCAAAAGTATCCATGTCCTAATCCTCAGGACCTGTGAGTTATTACCTTATATATCAAAAGATATGATTTTGCAGATATGATTAGGTTAATAATCTTGAGTTAGTGAGTTTATACTGACCCACACAGGTGGGTCCAATGTAATCACAATGATTCCTATAAATGAGTAAGACAGGAACTCTTATAAGTTCATCTTTCCAAGGGTCATATATATATATATAATCTATTTATCTCCGATAAATTGTTTTCTTTAATCCTAGTAGTGCCCTCTTTATCAGATAAGCTTTAGAAATTGACCTAAAATATGATACTGAACAAGATAAATATAAATGAAAATTGATAGCCATAGTAATATCATAGGGGAAATATTAATGCAAAAACATTGTCAGGGATAATCTTGTTCTTCTAATCAGTGAATTTTGTTAAATTTATTGTGACTAGAAATACTTGGGTTTATTATTCTCAATTCATTTAACCTATTTATCTTCTTTTTGTATGCGTCATTTTTCTCCTTTATTTGTGGAATTTTTAAGTCTTACCTTTTTTCCTTCATTTTCATGTTTTAGAAGATAAAATCTATTTCAGTGCTTTCTCTTAAATATTTTTAATGTGCATTTATGCTAATAAAGCCTAAAGTAATTTAGATCTTCTTGGATCATTATTAGAATACAAAACACATATGCTCCGATTACTCTTTTTAATCTTACAAGTACTATCTTAAGAATTTTTGTCCCAACTTGTTCTTGTACCTCCCAATTAGTCATCATGATTATACTTTTTTTTTTTACAAGGTTAAAGGCTTTGCCTATTATTATTCTTTCCATATCACTCATTTCTTCAAATTTCCATGTACTTTAGAAATTCTTTTGTGAGGGGCCTATTGGAGGGAAATTCAGTCTTTGTCTTACGTACCTTTATGCTTATCCTTGAACTGTACTGTATTTTCATGTGGTACCTAAGAACACAAGTATTTTCTGCAGGCCTCTGCACCCCATGGCTGCTAAGTGACATTCATTTGAAGATAATCTGTCTCTGGTGGCATTTAAGGTTTTCCTTTGGTTTTGGACTTTTGCAATGGCTATTGTCATGGTGGCTTCTGGTTTTCCTGTCTGAGATTTCTTGAGTTCCTTAAATCTGAGAAGTTAGTTTTTATCCACTCTAGGACAGTTTTTTTAAAAAATTTTGTGGCTTTAAAATTTTGCTTCAATTCCATTTTCACCTTCAGGAAATTTTATAAAGATTCAGTGTTGCACTTTTATGTTAACTAACACATTTCTTAACCCCCTTTATCTTTTCCATATCTTTATCTCTCTATGCCTTAGCCTCTGTGATTTCTTTTAATACATATTACAGTGTGCTAAATAACAGTTGGTTTCATCTGTTATTTAGCTTATCTGTTGAATCCTTAATTTCAACCATAGTTTTTAAAAATTTATTTATTTATACATATAGAACTGGGGTACAGGCCAGAGGTATGGGGAGTGAGAGGATTCATCAGAGACAGGGTGGGGAGCAGAACAGGCAGATTGACTGAAATACACTGCTGAGGGGAGCAGTGGGCAGGCCAGGAGAGGTCTGCCGTGCCATGTGAGTCACCCCTGGAAGGGGATCAAACTTGTGGTGCAGTGGCTAATATAGCTGCATAGAGCTGTGCTTTAATCTGTTGCACTACCAGTGAGGGTCCTCAGTCATAGTTTTAATTCCCATAAATTTTCTTTCTTTCATAAAACTGTTTAGTTCTTTTTTGACTCTTTTCATGACTTTTCCCTCTTTATGATCTTATTCTTTTTATAATCGCTATCAGATAATTTAATTAATAAAGTTGTTGCTTTTCTGTTGCTGTCTCTTACTGGATTGCTCATGTGTTTTATAATTTTTATTAAGAGTTTGTTTTGTTGAGGCTTAATCTCTGAGAATCCTCTAAGACCTAACTTGAGGATGTGTCTCTTTAGAGAGAAGGTATCTATTTCTGCCAACTGTCTTAGAGTTACTGCAAATTTGGAAACTCATTGCATGTTAATATATAAAATCCAAATATAAAGGTAATAAATTCAAACTGGGTTTCAAATCCCAATCCATTCAAACCCTAATCCATATTATAACTGGTCTATGGTTACAATTTCTTTGGAAGATTTTATACTTATCCCATGCTAGGTATCTTAGTTTTTCTCTTGCCAATAAGTGACTATATTTTTAATCTCTCTTTCATAATCCTTGGCTTTCTCTCCTTTCCCCCCATATTTGTCTCTCAGGTATGACTCTCACCTTGTACAAAGCCTGGTGACTTATTCTGGTCCTGTATAGATAGTAAAACTGAATCTGTTTGTTATTAAAAGTAGCAAACATCTCCACTGCTCTCAATCCTGAAAAACTATAGCATAAACATTGTGTTATGAATCTGAGTTTGCAAAGATTGAAAATCAAGTTATTTTAAACAAATTTCTTTCATAGAGTACAAAAGTGGTTGCTAATGCCTAAAGGAAAAGTGAAATATCAATTAGTAAAGATTGGTTAAAAAAGGGTACAGATTTTCACCTATAATATAAATAAGGTCTGGGGAGATATTGTACAATAATATAAAGTGACAATAGTTGATGATGATTGTATTGCATAATTGAAATTTGCTAAAAGAGTAGAATTTAAATGGTCTCACAACAAAAAGAAAGAAAAATATAAATTTATGAGATGGATGTGTTAATTAATACAAAAGGGAAATATTTTTACATTGTATATTAAATCACCAAGACGTGCACTTTAACTGTTATCATTTTACGTGTCACTTATATCTCAATAAATCTGAAATTTAAAAAAATTTAAAATAGAAAAAAATTTGGTTTAGCATTTATGAATATTTGCAACAAGAAGATTTCCAAATTTTCAAGTCTTCCATTTCTTCCGAAATTTTTTTGACATCAGGTAGATTTATTGGAATCTAGAAATAATTCAGTTTAGAAATAATTCAGTTCAGCAAGTAATTACTGATATTTTCTATGTGCTCACTACTATTATAGAAATCACTCATTTCCTAGCAGAATGCCATGCTTTAAAAAAATATAAACTTATCTGCCTATATTTCTCACCATTTTTTTTTTGGAGATCAAAGACAGATTACAATGTCTCAAAGGCTTCTGCAAATGTTACAGTACTTTAAATAAAATTCTTATCGTCAGATAAAACTTCAGCACTTTACTCCTTGATTTGTTTTATCATTATGAATACATAATAAAAGTAAATGTAAGAGTTACATTAGAATTCACATATTTTCATTGTTACATATTTCTTTTCTTTGTGTTTAGATTTTCTTCTATCTGAGTTTAAGAGATGTGGTAATATGTGGTCAGGTTAATCACTCCTGGATGTGGATGACACAAATAAGTTCACTGTGGAGCAGTGTAAGTATAGACATTACCTAAAGTGATGTCTTCATCCTCATTCTTAAAGGAGAATGAGCTTCCATAAGCCAGTAGTAGCAGAGACTATTTTCTTTCTTGTGTTTAACAACAGTAGGGACATTTGTTTTTCTCTTTGTCCAGACATGAGCTCAAAGAATGGGATAAGAAGATGATTATGTTATTTTAAGAGGCACATTATTAGTATTTTCTACCTTAGATGGTATAGATAAATGGGATGTTATTTTTTGATTGAAATAAACCTCTGTTAATATCTGTTTGGCTTACCAGTGCCAATGTAAGGATATTGCAGAGATAAATTGAGAAAATCTAAGAGTGTTTAGTGTAGAACCTGTTCTGTTGGCAGCATTCAGTAAATACTGGCTACTATTATTAGTTCAAAAAACATAACAAAGCATCACAAGATACAGAATAAAGGAAAAAACAACTGAGCATAAAAGAGAAGTAAAATACACACCATGTAAACAATGCTTATTTGTTATTCTGGTGTGCTTGCAGGCACATGGACACATACACACATATTTCCTTACACAGATCTACAGGTACCTTACAGCACCTTTGTGCTATTCTTGTCAAGGTCCTACTTTTGCACTATTCTTGCAACCTAGAACATTCCCAGTTTCTCACTGTGCAGGAACATTAGGAAGAGATCTCACAGCCAAAAGTAGGCATATATTACCCCTGAAGACTTTTCTTTGCTGTTTCTTGATTGGTACTTTAATCTCAACCATTTACACCATCAACCACTTTGAAACTCATACTTAGTTGCAGTGGTAACATTTTCCGTCACCCTAAAATCCATTTAATCATTGACTTCATTTTTCACTGCTCCTTTTTATCTAATGTTTGAATGATTATTTCTATCATAAGTTCAGACTAACCTATAAATAGGTGGCTGGGATATTCTGCAAAAACTCTGAAACTTACACAAAGAAAGAAAGAGGAATGACAAAGTATGAGGGGCTCTAGTTCTCTAAGTCAATTCAATCTCTTTACATTTCATCAGGCACTGCTCCATTCTGGGCTGAGTTGTTCTGCTCTCATCTGTGCACAATGACAAGAAGAAAATATGCTTTTGACTTAGCTAACTCATCTTAGGTAACAAGTTATGTATTCCTTAAGTTTATTTTTAGTTTAAGGCAGTTTTTGCAAAGTAGTTTAAGTTCAAGGCAGTGATTCTGACACTGAGGCATGTATCAGAGTCATCTCCAGAGATTTCTGATAGCCAGCACCAGTTTCGGATCCAGTAGGTCTGGTGGGACTTAAGCATTTGTATTCCAACAAGTGACTGGGAGATGCTGATGCTGCTGGTCCCAGGACCACACTTTGAGAAATACTGGTTTAAATTAATAAATATCCTACTTATGTGACAGATTGGTGATGTTGCTTTTTCCTTTAGAAAATCCACAAAGAAGAAAAAAAAATCCAAATGGTCTGAAAGAGAAAGAATATGAATAATATTAAGATCGGGATAAATCCTGCAGAAGCCTGGCAGAAAATGTCAGCACTTTTTCAGACTTCATTGGGTAAAGATGGAGAAAGTATGAGCACATGGCAGTAAGAACAAAGCCAGGACAGGGAGTTAACATTTCTATGTCCAATAAATTTCTCTCCCATAATACACAGTATATTGACCTTCATATTCAATTATTTTGGGCTTTATTTCAAATGTGGCACAACTGAAAATCATTTTGGCACAATGAATAGTTTTGTTTATAAGGCAGGGAAAAATTGGAAGTTTATAAAGTTAACCTTTTAACTAAAAATATTGTTACTACCATGATATTGATGTTATTGTTTATGCTACCTAGAGCTGACATTAACATCCAGACAGTTCAATTTTACATACAACTGGCCAGGAAGATTCAGGTCATACTTCCTCTTCTCCAGACATATCTCCTCTAAATTGTGAGCTATGTACAGACTCTTACAGCTACACATTCTGAATTGTCTTTCCTATAGGCAAGGAGTCAACATATAGTCTACGCCCATGAAAAAAAAAACAGGTGCGCGGCCTGTAATAATGGACCTATGAAGGGTGCATTGACAGTGAGGGGGGGGGAAACTTTGGGGCTCACCTGGAATGGGGGTGGGCATCCAGGCAGGTGGCAAGACAACTGACTCAGGCGGGAGGTGTCTGGGCGGCCCCTGTGCTCCCAGGGCTCACATGGACTGGCATTTGTAATCTGTTTATAATGAACCTGAGAATTACCACCAAACAGTGAAACAAAACAAAGTGATAAAATTTTAGTTCTGATGTTTTAAAACAAAACATTTTAAACGCAATCGATCTTTCTCATGTCTTAATGTCTTTTGTCCTTCTTAGATTGATTTTTCTGCAGTAAAACATATGATCACAGATAAATACATAGTGTCTACTTTGCAAAAATGGCGTCTGCATGTGTTGCGCTTGAATTTTCGTGGCTGTATTCTCCGAATGAAAACTTTGAGATATGTAGGTATGTTCATTACAGTTAACAATTGTTTGCCTTACTTTCTTGTATTTTAACTAGATAAATATCAAGAAAAGTATAAATAAAATGGAAACTTTACTTAGTCTTGGGCCATAAGAATACTAATTACAATTATTTAAACACTATAATTAGTTCTTACTAGGTTGTATGGCCCTTTGTCCATTCTTATTGACATCTATTAACTACATTCTGTTTATCTTTTCATCTGTACCATCTATTAACTACATTCTGTTTATCTTTTACTACATCTATTAACTACATTCTGTTTATCTTTTCATCCATCAGTGAAGAGATGGGTTTATTTTTACTTTTTGGCTACTGTGAATAAATAACACTGCCATCTATGAACATGGATGTCTAAATACCAACTTCTCTTTTGTTGATTTTTATTGTTTTTCTATTTTATTTCCATTGTCAATTTATGTTATTTTCCTTGCTTTGGATTTCATTTGCTTTCTTTCCCTAGTTTTTTATAGCTTTATTGACAAAAATTTAACACAACACTATATATTTAGGGCAGATATTATAATGATTTCATTTAAATATATTGTGAAGTGAGTACCACTGTAAGTATAGTAAATAACCATCATTTCATATAAATAATGTAATTTTTTTCCTTTGTGATCTTAGGATTTTTTCTTAACGTTCATATGTATCATGCAGCAATATTAATTATAGTCATCATGCACATTACATCCTTGTACTTATTTTTCATGTAACTGCAAGTTGTATACCTCTTGACCACTCTCATTCATTTCTCTTCTCCCCACTACCACCTCCAGTGAACACCAAATTTTTCTATAGTTTTTTTTCTATAAGTTTTCTTTTAGACTTAACATGTGAGATCACACAGTATCATCTGTCCACCTTATTTATCTTAGCATAGTGTGGTAACGGTCCATAACTGGTGTCACAAATAACAGGGCTTTCTTCATGACTGAATAATACCTAGGTTATTTCCATGTCTTGGCTATTATAAATAGTGCTTCTAAAAATAAGGAGGTGCATATATTTCTTCAACATAGTGTTGTTATTTCCTTCCAGTATGCTCCCAGAAGTATAGCTGCTGATTCACATGGTAGTTTTATTTTTAATTTTTTGAGGACCCCCATAATGTGTTCTATAGTGCAGTGCCAATTTACATTTCTGTAACAGTGCTCAATGATTCTCTTTTATCTACATCACCAGCATTTGCTATCTCTTGTCTTTTCAATGAGTTATTCTCACAGGTATGGGGTAATATCTCATTTTGATTTGCACTTAATTTTCCTAATAAGTAGTATTGTTGAGCATCTTTTCATGTATCTGTTGGAGCCACCTATATATCTTTTGGAAGAATGTCTATTTGGGTCAGTGACCTACTTTTAAGTATTTTTTATTGTTGTTGCTGCTGAGTTATATGATATTTTCATTTTTTAAAAAAGATTTATTTATGTATAAACAGAAGAACTAGGCCAAAGCTATGGGGGGTGTCAGAGGATTCACCAGAGACAGTAGGGAACAGAATAGGTGGATCTACTGAAATCCACTGCTGAGGGGAGCAGTGGGTGAAACAGGAGCAGTCTGCTGTGCCAGGGATAAAATTAGTGCTGCAGTGGCTGGCAATAATAGCTTGATAGGGCTGTCTTTAACTCCTGCACCACTAGGGAGGCCCTAGTTAGATGTTTCTTTTATTTAAAAAAAAAATCTACATATTAACCTCTTATCAGATATATTATCTGTAAATATTTTTCCCATTCTTCATGTTGTTGTTCATTTTGTTGACTCCTTCTACTGTGCAAAAAAAAAAACCTTTTACTTTGATCTACCCTCACTTACTTGTTATTTTGTTGCTTGTGTTTTAGGTGTAATAAAATTTTGCAAAGGTGTAGGCCAAGAAACTTACTGCCTAAAACTTCCAGAAGTTTTATGGTTTAAGGTCTTAAAAAGAATCTTTTTTCTTTTTTTTTTTTTAAAAAGATTTATTTATTTATGTTTACAGAACTGGGGTATAGGCCAGATGTGTGGTGGGTGAGAGGATTCATCAGAGACAAGGTGGGGAACAGTACAGGCAGACTGACGAAGTACACTGCTGAGAAGAGCAGTGGGCGGGTCAGGAGAGGTCTGCCTCACCATGTGGGTAGGCTCCCTGGCCGGGGATTGAACTAGTGCTGCAGTGGCTTTGGAGAGCTTCATAGTGCAGTGCTTCAACCATTGTGCCACCAAGGAGAGCCCCTTAAAAAGAATCTTTAATTCTTTTTATTTTTTGTGAGTGGTATAAAATAGGTCTTAGTTTCATTTTTTTTTTTTTACATGTAACTATCCAATTTCCCAGGCACTAATAATTGAAAATGATGTTTTTTCTCCATTAAAGATAATTGGTTTCCTTGTCAAATGTTGGTTGACAAACATGTCCTAGAATTTTCGCCAGCTCCCATGTAAAGGCTCTCTCTGATGTTTAGGCACAAATTCTGCCTAAGTTTGGGATGGAGAGGAAATAAGTGAGATGAAGTTGAAAATTAAGTAGAAAACCCAAAGAGGGTCAAATAATGAAAATGCCTAAGTCAAAATGGGCATATTGACCACATGGTCATTATATCTGATCATATAGATGTCCTATGAACCACATCATATGTAGGACTTATATGGGTAGCTTATATTTGTATTTGAGGTTCCAGATAGCCTAAAATATTGCTTTGCTTATATTTTAATATTTTGTTATTTAAAATATTTATTTAATATTTATCTGGAAGTATAAATCAGTACAAATGACTTTGTGATAGAAACAAATAAGCATGCAAGCTTAAATAGGCTTGATTTTAAGGGGATACATATAATGCTCTCATATTTGTGATTTTTCAATCTGCCAAAGATTATTTAATAAAACCAGTTTTAATTTTAGCAATCCTGAGTGCCTCTCAAAGATAAAAAGTCAATCTCACAGATATTTAGGCTTTTCCCTTTTTCCTGAGTAAGATCAGTTTATCTGTTCATGTGAGTAGAATTACACATTATTTCTGGCAAGCAGTTTTACTTTCTCATTGTTAGACTGAAAATAAATATTGGCTGATCTTTGGGGTTATTTAGCTAAATGGCCACAAGAGTCATACTTGTATGTCCACAAAAACTCCAAAATGGTATCTGAAAATGTTTAAAAGGCAGAGTAGGGCAGAAAAGGAAAATGCTTGTTATAGTATTGTGACTGTTAAGTGTTACAGAGTATATGCCAGAACACTAAAAAACAGCTGACAAAGGTACAGAGTGGTTTTTAAGTACAGCATTTATGGTGCTTGGCCTGAGATAAACTTGGTTTTTGGGGAGCCCAACCCGATCAGTTTTTTTCCTCCACCCTTTCGATGACTGGCGAGATGACAGCAACTTAGATATTTGACTTGTGAATGTTTTGAAAGTTCATAGGATACAATATTGAAATTTTCTGGCCACACTTATATTATTGCTACTTATTTTAGCACTGACACTCATTTGCTAGTTATATATCTCCCCCCCTCCACTCACAAAATCCTACCTCCTGCAGAAAGGCGCCTCTGCCATATCTCACAGAATTTAGGTAAGTAAATTCTCATTATTGAATTGCTTTATTTGCCAGAGTAGAAGACTTGTATCCAGATTTCTTGGAAACACATTGATCCAGGGTATATGCTCTAGAGGGAGGGCTAGAGCCTGCTGAGCTGCTCAGTGTTAAGTATCTCTCCCAAATAACTAAGTATTAGGTCAGATCTGACTCACGTCTAGTACTCAGGAGATCTCAGCTTGCAGTTAATCTTGATTTCAGAAAAATCGAGACTCTTAGGACTAGCAGGAGATAGCTTATTTTAGATAAGCTAGCTTATTTTATCCAAACACACAAATGATACTAAAACATGTATGTTCAATATGTGCATTTCTGGATTTTAGATACACACACACACAGGTATGTGTTGTGTGTTTATATACATATTTAATTTTTTTTTTACTGAAGCAACACTGGATATACCACCATATCACACCTCTTCAGGTGTGTTACCATACCCACCAACCAAGGCACCACAGTCTTCCACCAAAGTCTGTCAGTACATAATTTTGACTATCATAAAATATATTTATTTTTTAATCTCCTGAATTTTCTCATCTGTTGAATGAAGGCCCAAAGGCAAATCATTAAACTTTCAAGAAACTGGCAGAAGAGAAATTTCATACTATTTCACTTCATGATTGGTCAATTGTGCTTCCCTGAGGGAAGTGGAAAATCTCAAGCTTTCAAAAATACACATCAATTTAGGCCCATAGAGAGATTAAGAACTCAAACTGACTTACTTTTGGGTGGTCTGGATTTTCTCTATTTCGATGTGTTGTTGAGCTTTATTTCCAATTGGCTCCTGGGGGTGGGGTGGGGTGTGATACTAATTATAAAGATCATCCAATGAAATCCCCAACTAGCCTCCAAAAACCAGAGTTGCTCAAAGCCTGAATCGTATTTAATGTTACTTCCTTCCAGCACTCTCATGTCCCCCCTGCATGCCTCTATCTCCTATGAAGTCCCACTTGGGAGACTTAATTGAATATTTTACTGAGTGCATGAATAATAATGTCTCTTCACTTCAAATTCAACAGCTACCTTTAATACTGCATAGTGAATAATTTGATGATTTGCACTGCGAACTAGTGTCTGTTTCTAAGTCTCTACCCCTGACCCAAATCATTGTTAAAATGGGCAGAGTGGTCAGAATCTCACAATCCAGTATCCCCTGAACTGTCAGTTCCAGTTTTCTGTTCTCTTGGTTTTCTTTACACATTTATACAGTTTAAGCGACCAGTTCTTTTCTGCCAATTACCCTCATAAGTGCTTCTGCAGAAAAAGGCTTAACTTTCCTGGTACCTATTCCTCTTTTGAAGTCTGGTTATGTAAGTTCTAATATAAGGCAGCTATGACCAAGGAGAGCTTTTTGAGAACATTCTGTAAACCTGCACAGGAGAAAGGCGAGGTGGAATTATCTAAACCCTAATGCTTGGATTCTTCTCTCTCAGAGGGATATTGTGAGGATTAGAAATAGAGCATGTGAAACTTTAAGCTGACAGTTTGGCATTTAGTAGACGCTTAAGATATGCTCAGGTACTATTAGTCAAATCTTCTTTGCTATGAGAATTTCTGTACATATCAAGACCAGTTGCTAAACTTCCTAAGAATACTTCAGTAGAAGAATAGATAATTATTACAGTCAACATGAAAAAGAAATCTCTTAATAGGAGAAAGTGGTATATCTAAGAATATGTGCTTTTATTTTTATGTATACAGTGTAGAAGTGATTATTGAAATACAAACTGCTGGGTGAGGGACTTCCTGTTTTTCTTTCCTGGTGATGTGTTTCTCTACTTGAGCTTATTTTAACCCTCAAGTTCAAATCCAAGTTTCTCTTGGGAGCCAGTCCTTCCCTCAGTTGCGAGACTCTACCTCTCTTGTTTTCTCTCCATCTCAAATCCTAACCCTGACTCCGAATTTCACCCTTTGTCTTGTGCTTCACAAGATATTTGTTCAGCAGGAAGGACTCAGGTCTTTCCCACTGGTTCCCTAGTTCAGAAACCAGGGCTGTTTCTACACTTATTAATGTTTATACCTCTTTATGACTCATGATTCACACCATCTACAACTTCTTCTCAAAGTCCCATCTTCTGACCAGCCTCCGATATAAGTCTCGGAATCCCTACTTATTGCTTGTGACAATTCTCCTTCAGTTGTAGCTTGACAGGCTTTTTGCAAGCATCAGTGAAGAGTTGAGAATTTGAGTTTACCAGGACCTCATTCTGAAATGCACTGGAATCAGAAATGGAAATTTATTTAAAGTATAAGCTGATTTAATAAAACAGAAAAAAAGCAGGTGGGGGAGCCCAGTGGAGAGAATGACATTTTATTATAACTAAACATTTATATCTTTTCACTTTAATCATCTTTAGGGATGCAGAAGAAGCTACTGAAAAATATGTGAAATGAAAAAAAAATTATTATTTTCAGAAAGTAAAAATATTTATACAGAACATTACAGAAACTCTAATACCATCATAAGGACTCAGCCTCCTGCTAGTTACCTGGTGTAACAATACCAGGTGTAGTTGCCTGGTGTCACCAAAGGCTGTTCTGCAACCAGATTACTATAACTCCCACAACAAAAATAATAAAATAATTAAAAGAAACTTCTTTGATAGCCCTGTATAAATAGGCAATACAGTTAATTAAAATGTAAACATACAATTTCCTGACACCAGTATACAATATAAAACTAGCGGTGACGACTCCTAAGCTATCCTACTATAGTGATTCTTACACTCTGCTTCTTTGCTGTGCGTTCTCTATGTATTTTTTCCCACTCATCATCTTCCGTTTCCTGTTCAAATGTTTCAGGGTATGCTGGTAATTTGTCTTTGGGGCATTCTTCATAGTAACTGCGAACGTACTTCCCCACAGACCACCCTTTGTATTCTTCAGGCATTTTGCACTCCAGGCCATTGTAGTGGACATTGTAGTGGTGTTTTAACCAGTAGTAGAGGTAGTGGATGCTGTAGTCACATCTCCAAGGGTTATCTCTGAGCCACAAAAGTTTCAAAAAATACAAGTCTTCCAATACTCCATAGTCAAAGTTTTGTAGGTTGTTGTTCGATAAGTCTAACTCTTCTAAATGTGTGAGCCCTAAAAAGGCAGCTAGAAACAGAAAACATTCATTAAACCAATGAGTAATTGTGTTAAATACAATCTATGATGTTTTATTATGGACAGATATAAATTTAACTTCATTCTTTCTGTTGAAAATAATGGAAACAATTTTGACTCCTTTTTCTCAGAGCACTTAAAAAATACAAATGTATACATAATTCATAAGAAGATTAAATAGGCCTTTTGTCATAAGAAGATTAAATAGGCCCTATTTATGAGCCAGGAAGCACCTGGGAACCATCTTTGTGCAATGTAAACATCAAGGAGATAGCTCCTCTGTCTCCCAGTGTCTGTGGGAGGGTAGGGAGCCTTGTTCCAAGTTGCAAAACTATCTGCTGCCACAAAAAAAGTTTTGTTTTCAACTGGGTAAAACCAGATACCCAATACAGACGACCACCTTGAACTACTAAAATGAGCTATGCAGGACACACTCTGTGTCAAATTCTGCTAAGGACTAGTTATTGATCATCCTGAAAACATGCACATGTTTGATTGTACGTGCTTGCTTATGTACAAGTGAGATTTCTTTCTGTTTAGCAGGAACAATTTGCCTGTGATGTGCATTGCATACTGCTTTAATGCGTATTCAATTACAGAAGTCTTTTCTTTTGGAGAGGCTTTCCTTTAGAAGATTTTGGTTTTAACTATATTCCCCTAATAGCTAAGTGTCCAAGTATGAAATTCTTAAATGTTTCTGCTCAAACAAAGCTTTCCATTGATTAAATTGACTATAACATTTTATTTAAAAGATTGACTTTAAGTTAGCTTTTAAGAAAATGTATATGTAACTCACATGCATTTTTCATACTGGAAAGATGCCACAAAAAGTCACGAATCAGTGAAAATATTTAAACTACAAGACGTAAGTTCACAAGAAAATGAGAAATGTGTCTGGTGATGATTTGACAGCTCCCTGGATATCAGTAAACTCTAAAAATGCCTAGAAAACAGCCTTTTCCTAGTATAAGGAAAGGGAATTATATTCCAGTAGAGTCTAAAACCAAAATATTTTTATCAGCATTCTGAAAACATCTGGATATATTTTGGCAGGCTATGGAAGTTATCAGCTTTGAATCCATATGTATTTCATTTTGCTGGAGTGTGGATAATTAAAATAAATGCCAAACACATAACACAAAATAAGAAAACAAAAATCTTTTTTCCTCCATAGAACCTAAATCTAAGTTATCCCTTTGTCAGTTGATGTGGACTGACCCAATACCCTAGAATTTATAGGTAAATCCTGATTTCAAATATAATTTTTTCTATTTCAAATATTTTCTCATCACTTTTTTAAAATACTCTTGTTAGAACATACATGTCCTTATTTTGAATTAGGAAAATATGCTCTCATACAAATACCACTGAGCATTTTCCTATCATTTGCTCTTAGACAGAATCCATACTCCCCTCTAAAAGGAATTCTTTCCATTTTGGTGCAAAGCAATGGCTTGGGGGAGCAGGCAGCTGGGGAAGAGCAAAAGCTTTGCCAGCACTTGGAGAGACAGTTCTTACGACACTCTATTTTTTTCCTATTTGCTAACATTCTAGGAATCAATGATCTCACGATTTACTTTTCTTAAAACAAGTCAGCCCTCCAGATTGAAATCATGTGTAACCATTCTTAGATTCTATTTTGAAAATATTATAGTTGTTACTTAAACCATATGCACTCAGACACTTTGGGAAAGTTCATTTCATTAAATCTTAATGGCGGTATAACTGCTAACAGAGTGCTGTCTTTGCTTCTTTGGCAATGTCTGCCATTTTGAGATTGTTAAAACCTTCTGAAGATGGGGGAATCTCATTGCCTTTGTATTCCTAGTGGCGTGTCATTAAAGTAAATCTACTTAGGCAGTGTTTCATCTCAAAGGCCTGAATTCTAGAAGCCCTCTTATTTCAAAACTTCTTTAGGTCATTTTGACCCATTTAAGAGCTGAGATAATTTTTGATTCTAGAAGACACACCAAAAACATAGTTAAGGTTTTTTAGGCACTCAATATATATTTATGAATGCAGGAAACATTTTCTTGGGTGTGATTTATATAACAAAGAAAGAAGAATACTACTGCATTAGATTCACATTACATGTCAGCAAGGAAAACATATTGGGTAAAGAAGATGAGAAGCCCTTTAGGAGATCCCAAGAACGGAAAAGGAATCCTTATCATTATGGGAATTTTATAAATGATGAGGGGAAAACATCACAATAAAATAAACCTATTTTGTGCTAACATCTATCTATGTATTATCTTCTCTCACTTTTTTTATCGATAATTATGTACTATAGTTTTATTATAATTAAAACATTATTGCAATATTAATTAATACTTTAATAGACAACATAGATCATAGAATGATGTTTTAGAGATAGCTTTAAAGTTCTTTGCACTGATTTGAAAGTTAGTCCCTCAGTTCTTATATGCATAATCTTTAAAAAAAGATATTTTATACAAAACATGCCTTTGTGACTTTAGAACTTTCATTTGTGATTTTTACTTCTATAATATCAAAATCCCAATGTTATATAAGTGTTATTAAATTACCATCAAGAAAAGTAAAAGAAACAATTACACTATGCTTATGACATCAATATTGCATTATTAATATACTAAGAATAATTTTCATAGATAGGACTTTTCAAATTGAACTAACACTGCAGAAACACATATATTGTGTTTGTTATAAATCTGATCAATATTGCAATAATTCTAAGTTCTTTCTAAATCCAATGTGTTAGTTAACTTACCATACTTTATTTTTTGCCAGAGATTTTATTTAGCAAATAGAGGTTTGAAGGATGGAAAATAAAATTGATAACCATTTTAGATAAAGTATGTCTGACCCTGATTTGAACACATTTTATCTTAGTTATTATTTTATCTTATTTTGTAAGCTTGATGCATAAACTGTTTCAAGTTTGTTTTTTTAAAGTTATTAAAGTTGTTCTTTAAAATGCTGGGAATGAGTGAATAGCAAAGAAAATGTCAAATATGAATTCTCTTAAAATTACTACATGTTTAGCATCTTCTTATTTTTAAAATCTATTTTATAAAACAATTATAACCAATTGAGTAACTTTGCTTAGCAATGTGTACTGATATGCATCATAAAGTGATATTTTCGCAAACCTTTCTCCGTCAAACAAGTTTTAATTTAAGCCTCATGTTTAGTTTAAAGTCAAATGTTTCATTATTGAGGTTCTTAAAAAACAATTGTATTTGCTATAGATGTTGCCATAAGAAAAATCACAGAACACCTGTCACCTGTTTAAAGGGCTATTTTGTGAAACTTACCAGGATCTATGAATTCAATGCCATTGCTGCTGAGGTTTAATTTCTTTAGCTCGTGAACATCTTCAAACTCTTTGGGTGGAAGTTGCTTGATTTTATTGTATGACAGGTCAAGTTTCACAATATCTGGAGGGATATTGTTTGGAACTTTCCTCAACTCTGAAAAAAAATATAAACATTGATTTATCAAGCTTTTTTCTCAACCCCATTTGGTCTAACACTATGCCTGTGACTGAACAGTAAGCTCTTAAAGGAGAAAGGGGTAGTTAAAGCCAAAGAATATTAGCAGAACAAGACTTAGATGGGCTAAAGTTCACCAAAGCCCAGCAGCAAACCAAGGACATCACACCTACAGGGGCAGGTACTACTCCTTGCTGAGTTGTCTGGAGAAACTTCCTAAAGGCAGGGGCGGGAGACCAAGAGGAGGATGGCAGGCAGTTGGCTCAGTTAGTCAGTAGGTAAGGAAATCCGGCTCCAGCCTGTGCTGCCCATAGAATAACCAGAAGCTGAAAGGAAATGAAACCAGTAACTCAAGCCAATGTATGTGTGCACCCCCCATACTCTACTAGGCCTTTTTACTCCTAATTACTGCCTCTTTGTTGCAACTTCGTTTAATCCTATTCTCTGGGTTCTTTCTTTCTTTTTTTAAAGATTTATTCATACAGAACTGGGGTACAACCCAGAGGTGCAGGGGTAGTGAGACAGAGTGGGGAGCAGAACAGGCAGATAGACAAAGTACACTGCTGAGGGGAGCAATGGCCAGGTTAGAAGAGGTCTGCTGCGCCATGTTGATCACCTCTGGGGCAGGGAATCAAAACCCGCCCTGCAGTGGGTGCAGCTAGCTTGCAGTGCTGCGTCCTAACCTGCTGCGCCACCAGGGAGGGCCTATTCTCTGATTTCTTGAACCATACATAAACTCAGGTCTCTTTACACTAAAAAACAAACAAGAAACAAAACTCTCAAGCTGTTATTTCTCCTTTTCTTGGATGCTAAAATTCTAGAAAGAATAGTCCTGACTTGTGGCCATGTTTTCTCATCACCTACTTATCCCTGAGTCCTTATGATTTAGTTTATATTCTGCCACTCCTCATTCTCTGAGAATATTGCAGTAACCAGATTCCACAGGAACAACAGCACTGATGTTGCTGTTCCTAGTACTAGGATCACAATGACTACCACCACCATCACATCACAATCATGACTTCTAATACAGGAAGAGCCTCCGAAGAGAAGTCCAGGTTATTTTTCATAAGTTAATTGTTCACCTAATTTATCTTACTATTTGTTTGTCTTTAAATAATATTTAAAAAATAAATATAAGTGTTTAAGTGCAACACTTGTCCTCTTTAATTTTAGCAAAGTACCCTGAAAAGGTTTTATTCAATTTTAAGGAGGGCAAGAGAAACCTGTGAAGACATAAACCTTTCCCACAAAAGGAAACTAGAAGTAACCAGTGAAATTTCCGGACTGATAACCAAGAAATGGGATGACCCAGAGATTTTCTAAAATAAAGGGGATAATGCTAAGCAAAACAAGTCAAAAGAAAAAAGACCAAATACCGGATGGTTTCACTTATAAGTGGAATGCAGAGAAACAAAGGGTCAGACAAAATGAAACCAATGACAAATCCAAGAAATCTGACTGCAGAATTGAGGTAGTATACCAAGAGCAGAGTGGAGAGCAAGGTGTAGAGGGCACCCAATGGACTATGGTGGAGACTTGCTGGTGGTGATGGTGTGGGAACAGACATCTTAAGAGGTGTGATTTTACACCTCTGAGTTACAAAGTGTGTTGTAAGCCATAAATACTGCAACAGAAATGAAACAATCACCAACGGCTTTTGAATAAATTCACTGACATGGGTACACGTGAGATCAGTTTATGAATGTGGTATTCATTTATCCATAATACCATTTTGGTATAGAAATAAATTTCTGATATAATAGCTCCTAATAGCTTTCTAAAAATCTCTTATATTTGTGATTTCTTAGCCTGTACTATATTTACTTTCATGCAGAGTCAGGTTTATCTTTCCCCTTCTCTTAATACCTCAGACCCATCATCTTTATTTTTAAATAAAGTACCACTGCTTTCATACTATTCCTGTGGCAGTATAAAATGGGTCTTTAATGGAACAGTATTGGTTATTTCATCTTTAGTATTCTTACTACTATAAATTTGTTTCCTCTTCTTCATGAGATTTTAGAGACTTAGTATCTATGTGCAGGAAATATTCTAGGTGCCTTAACAAGTATTAAATGACAAAAATTCTACAAGCTAATTACCATTATTATCTTCATCTTACCAATGAGAAAAGTGAGGCACACTTGGTGACAGTCACACTCATAGGACTGAAGCACATACTAGCTCCAAAACCCATGCTTCTGCCACTGTCTCTGCTGCCTGCCCATGGTAGTATCTTTTTGCTTCCATCTGCCTACAATCCATTAACTTGGCTTGTAGCATAAGGTGAAAGTAGAGGAACAACAGAATCCGTATATTAGGGTGGCCATGAGAACTTCCTAGCTCTGGGTTTAAAATGACATTTCCAGCTTTCAAGTGTGAATTAACAATTAAATAGCATTCTCTCCTTTTCAATCACAGTTAAACCATGAGATACAGCATGCATTCTACTGATTTTTTTTTTTAAATTTTATCATCCTTTAAAATTTTTTTTTAAGATTCATTTATTTATGCATACAAGAACTTGGGTACAGACATACTAGTTCCAGAACCCATGCTTCCAGCCACTATTCTCTATTTTCGCAGTTATGAACAGTGACGCCACAAATTAGTTTTAGTTTTTAAGACGGATATTCCCCACCCCTTTTTTTCAACCTCACCTCAGGCCAGCGGTGTGGGGGGTGAGCACACTCACCAGAGACAGAATGAGGAACAGAACAGGTGGACTGACTGAAATACACTCTGAGGGGAGCAGCAGGTGAGACAGGAGAGGCTTGTTGTGCCATGTGGGTCAGCTCCGTGGCTGGGAATCGAACTCAGGCAGCAGTGGCTGTTGATAGCTTCATAGTGCTGTGCTTTAACCCTTTGCACCATCAGGGAGGGCCCTTTGGAAGCTTGATGAGGGAGGCTTAAAACAGTGCCTATCATATCGTAAGTATATCAGGGTATGTGGCAGACATCTTCTTTCAATTGTACCCAATGATCTCTACTGGTATTCAGACCCTTGTATAAGCCTCTCTCTTTCAGAAAGGGTTAATCCTCGTGACTTAATAACAGAAAGTTATTAAAACAGAAAATAGCAAATATGGTGATGATGCAAGTTGCCAAACTGGTGAGGCCCACAAGGCAGTACATTAAGAGAGTTTGTGTAACATCCAGTAAGGTGCACTAGCATATACAGTCCAATAGCTCATGGGAAACACAAGCCTGCCAATAGCCATATGAGTCTGTATGAGGATCCTCTTCCAATTGAACCTTTAGATAAGAGCCCTGAGCCCTGGTTAGTACCTACACTGCAGCCTCATGAGATCCTGGAGTACAGGGCTCAGCTAAGCTAGGTTGGGTTTCCTGACCCACTGCAACTTTGAGATAACGTTTTGTTTTTGATTTTATTAGTTATGAACAAACAGTAATGCCACAAATGATTATTTTTTTTTAAGATGGATATTCCCCATCCCTTGGCTTTATTCTCAACTTCATTTATTGCCACTTTTTTATTATTTCCTTCCTTCTATTAAATTTTGGTTTTGTTTGTTCCTTTTTTTTTTTTTCAAGGTGTATAGGCATTTTATAGAGTTGCTTATTTGGAATTTTTCTTGCTTCCTAATTCAGTTTGTATTAAAGACTACATTCAACTAATGAATACTACATTCAACTAATGTTTTCCTCTTAACTAGAGGGAAGCCCATAGACTGGTAATTTGTATCCTCGTATTCATTAGTTGATTTTTTTCCAAGTTTATTTTAACTTCCCCTTTAATCCAATAGCTATTCAGCAGCACAAGAAATCATATATTTACGGTCTCTCCTGTTCACTACAAAAAATTAAAAAAAAAAAGTTGTTTCTCAACCCAGATGCCCAAAAGTAGATGATTGGATTAAAAAGATGTGGTACATATACACAATGGACTATTACTCAGCAACCAAAAAAATAAGCACATGCCTTTTGCAGCAACATGGATGGAGCTGGAAAAGATCATGCTTAGTGAAATAAGCCAGAAAGAAAAGGAAAAATACTAGATAGTTTCACTCATAGTAGGAGTATAAAAAAACAGTGGAGAAAATAATAATAATGAACAACTATATATCAGAGACATTTTATGGGGATGGAGTGGGGAATGGGATCAAAAATGGTGGGGGGAAGGAAGTGCACTGCACGATGGTGATGGCACCTGAGTGATTTCATGATGGGAAGCCCACGGGGATTACAACTGAGGTGGAAAAATACACAAAATGATGTAAAAATAAACTATTATATTATTTTTTAAAAAAGTAAAATATGTCATAAGGGGGTGGGCTGTTGAGAATGACATATTTGGTATTGTTTGTTTAGGTGGTGTTTATTACATATGAATCTGTAGATTTGGTTTGGTTTTTCAAGAGTGTAAATTTAAACATCTATTTATTTAATTTTCATGTAACCATTTATCAATTATATAATAAATGACTTCATTTTGCAAAAAAAAAAATAGTTGTTTCTAGCTTTATAGCATTATGATCAGAAAGAATATTTGGCATGAATTCAATCTTCATAGTTTCATTGACAATAGCCTTGCAAAAACACATAGTCTATTCTTGCAAGTGTTCCATGTGCACTTAAAAATGTATCACAGCAGTGTGGCCTAGTGTTCTGCAGATCTCTGTTAAGCCTGTTTGGTTACGGTTTCCTTATGTATCTTCTATCTTCCTGATCTGTCTATATTTGTAAGTTTGTAATTAAAACCATACTACTATAATCTTCTAGTATAATCATGTTAGAAAAATCTCACTGTAGTTCCATTAGTAATCACCTTATACTTCTGGTGCTCCATCATTTGATGCATATGCATTTTTCTTGTTGTATTAGGCCCTGAACTATAGTGTAATGTTCATTAGTGTTCAATCTCTTAGTACCTTTTCATTGGAAATCTGTTTTATCTGATATAAGTAAAGCTGTTTTTGACTTTTTTTGATTTCCATTTGCTCACAGGATTGTCT